AACTAATCGTGATGATTCCTTTATCATTTTAATAATTTCTATCTTTAATAATTAATATAAAAAATATGCGCCTTTTCTACGGATACATTCTTATTAATCTTTTTTTTTATTAAACATTTTATAATATTTTTTTAATTTCCTGGTATAAAAGTATGATATTCAAATAAATCAAGGAAATATCGTAATTATGTGATTTTTTTATTCGAAAAAAATATAAGAAGATTATATATGTATAGACAAACATAGAATAATCTCTTCTATCTTTTATCTTTTCAAGATATACTTTAGTAAAAGAATTTATATTTTAACATTTTATGACAAGATATTCCTAGATCATCTGATATCATTGGTTGTCCTAATTTTAAAATACGATGTAAGTAAGTAATTTACAGGATTCTCTTGTAAAACAAGCGATGAACCTATGTTCACTTCTGTTTTACGATAGAGTGCCTTACCTGCTTCTATCGAGTACGCTTCTTTCAATATAAAGCGCGTATGACGCGTAAGAAGGCATGTGGGAGAGCCGCCCACGCTAGCACTATTCTTGGAGTTAATGCTGCTTATGCCCAGCGAATGCAAAATATGCTTCTGTTGACCTGCCGGAGTGCTGTCTGTCCCCCTTAAGCCGCTTCCACACGATGGTGTCTTAATGTAAAGGAAGCTAATTTCTCGAAGCTACTGACTGATAAGGCGTGTTTTACTTATATGCAATATAATTATAGACTTTAACTGCATCGAAACATGATTCACGTGACGTATTCCATAAAATACAGATACATCTCTCTATATATATGAAATCAAAATGTAAATTAATCGAGATTGCAGCGATTTCAATGCCTGCTTTTATACGAATAAAAATTGCTTCATCCCCATTTCCTTTTGCACTCTCTTATAAGGTTTCACTAATTCTTGCTTAATTAATTCTGACGGAATCCGCATATGTAGTTATCATCGATCTGCGATGGCAGACCGTGAACGCCGACTCGAGATGGCAAAAGCGTCTCGGCTTAATCTTTGCCGCGATCGGTATAAGCCGGTATGCACGTAATAGCCTTCGATGTGGAAAACAACCCGCGACTGTTCACCATTCACGGTATGCCATCGCGCACACCGATCGCCGAAGTATTTCGCGTACAATTAATTGGATGAGCGAGCGAGATATTTTAACCACGATGGGGAATCGAGCCGGGAGCCCGCATAAATGATTATCGGACCCGACAAAAGAAGAGACATTGCGAAATACACTGTCGTTTCAGTTTAAACTTTAGTTTTTATTTTAAATTTCTACAACTAATGTAATTTTTTTTATTTACCTGTCTTTTGCTCTCAATGTGCCTTAATTAATTTTTTACTGTCAAAATAATATTATTATTGCAATTAATAATCATTGCAGTACTAATTACAACTTTAATTTAATGGTAGTTTTATTATTTAAAATATTTCCTCTTTTGTCATTAATTTGACATCATATATTCTTTAAATAAAATTAATGATATCCAAAAATATTTAAAGCTTATTTGATAACTGGATAGCACTTGTAATATTAATATTGTTAATTACTTTCAAGTTAAGAAATTAATAAGGTTAATGGTTGCTATTAAATTTCGTAAATTATCTATTCTCCGAAGTAGAAAGATACGAGTCGACGTTTCCTCGAGGAGCTCAAATGGACGGTATACGCTATAAAAAAAATGCAATAAAGATGTTTAAAATATCATTTTTATCTCGCACTAGAATCCTTAAGTAGCGATTGACCGAGTTACTTTTCGACCTCATCGCCGAGCTTGGAGCTTCTCGTGTTTGCTCTTAATAATGGCGAACACCCTGTATAACATATTATTACGCTCGCGGGTCTTGCGCGAAGACCATTAACGCTTTTTGCCGGCGGCCGTGTGTCATTGACGGTGCTTTTTATTGACCGGGCGCATAACTTTCTTTAGTGTCGCTCGTTTATGAGCGGGTAATTGCACGATTTCGGTGTCCCAATCTGTATACTTGACGAAGGCGGACAAATATGGAACATCGATATAATGGGCGCAATGCGAGTCTCTTTTTGATTACTGCGGCTGATGCCATCGTTAAACCAATCCAGAAATTTCTCTCAAATTAAATCCGTATTACTCGTCGTGTCCGTGAACGTAATTTTGTTAGCCGCAAAGAGAAGAATCGTTATATGATAACAAAAACGCCATTCCATAACTTCCAACTAATCGTTGGATAAATCATCCCTCCATTGTGTTCGCAGATTTAAAATAAAGTTGCATAAAATTAATCAAGATATATAATGATAATTTTATCTTTTTAATGGCTATGACAGCGTGAGAGAAATCACAGTTTACGAAGTTTACAAAGCGACGTTCTGTGCGATAAGAAAGTGCATTATCCATCACAAACGCGCAGTTAGTACGAGCATAAATAAAGGAGTACGTGAGTACGTGGGTGTTGTCACTCGCCGACGATCATAAGATAAATAAATTTCCATAGAACTCTTGTCACGTTATATATCGATATGAATAGATGACGAGACGGGATCGACTCATTCTTGCTGCATCATCGTCCTTTGCGCTTTAGCATGCACGATCTCTACATTAAAGTATTTTTGCTTATCTAGACGTATGACAGACAGCCTTAAAAACGCATACACATTTTCATGCCACTCATATATTTCAGCTGTTTTATCTTATTGTTAGTTATTAATTACTATTATTATATTATTTATATATGTATAAACGTTAAAAAGGTTATTATAAGTAACTTTTTCCAAATATATAATTTTTATTAAATTAAATATATAGAAAGCTCCTAAATTGATTTCTTGTTGCATTTTAGTTATCGATAAATTTTCAATCTCTCTCAACTTGACTGTACGTAAAAAAGGCGAAAGCTGCAGCGAAGAGAGCGACAGAAGAGAAGGAAGAGAGTTACGAACATATGCTTTGATCTAGTTTTAAATTATGTAAAACATAATATATAAAACAATATACTCGCAAAAACCAAACACGGTGAAAATAAATTTCCCGAAATCATAAGCAATGCTTCTTTGTAAATATGAGTCACCCATTTTATTATACAATATTCACATTCTTGAAAATATATATACACACATATTTTTTTCGGAGATGCTATTATCTTACAATTAGATGAGATTCTATTATTAAGAAAGTTTGTGATAATTTAAAATAAAACTGGCGATTGTATAATCGATTTTCCATAAAAAGAACGACAGTATACGATACGTATAAATATATTCCAGTAATTATTTAAGTAATGTTTTGTATACAATTTTTAAAAATTGTAATAAACGATTGTAGATATATCATAAAATTATAACAAGTAATAATAAATTTTTGCGCGATGAATGCCGGAATCTCCGTGCAAATGAGCCGCATTTAGGAGGCTTTTATTTCGGGATCTCCAGGAATGTGACGTGGTTGCGTCGCTTTCGTTATTTCGAACCCATGATCGGGACTCCAGCTGGAGCAACCATAACACAAGCCTCGTTATTCGGTGCTAATGACGCTACGCGGCTTGAATTTATGGTGTTGAGAGTTAAGGGTCTCTCGCGATTTCTCTCGGGGATCATGCGAGGAAGAAATGCGCTACATATAAATCGAGCTTTCGCGGAAGCTTTCACGCGCCTCTGATAAACACACGAAAAGTAGCATAATAATTGATATCTAAAAAAAGAATAGTTATGGTCTTAGACTATTTTGTAATATTCCATAAACCATTAGTAAATCATGATATATAAGCGACAAAAAGGTAAAAAGCAAAAAAAAGTTATAATATAAAATACGATTTCACAAAAACACTAAATTAAATTTGAAAGCAATGTGAATATATATACTATTATGTATTGATATTTGAGTGTGTCAATAAATTAGGAAAACAATTATTGACGACCTTAGAGCTTGTTTACATGACATTACATGCTTATTATGATGTCAAGTACCAAGATTGTTAGATTTCGAGGATCTCTCGAAACAGTAAGATCGTAATCGTGCGATATATATTTTTGGGATTAACAACCTGTGATGATAATGTGCTAATTGCAGTTTTTATATTTCAATAAAGAATTATACCTCAATCTGCATAGAATTTTAATATACAAGGTAAGTCATTAAAAATAAATCTATATACTTTTTTATATCGATGTATATAATAATAAATCATATATAAAGCTTTTTTCTAATTATCTCTGTTTAATCAAAATTTATTCTGTATTTATTCTCGTTATTTTTCATTAAAAAAAGATACATACAATAAAAAGTACTTTGCATTATATTTTATTTATGCTTATATTTTCTTAAATAAAAAAACGTTATTACAGATATCTGAAACGAGAAACTTGGCATGGAAAAAGTATTGTTAAGAGTGATATTAAACAGCGCCTTATACATAACGGCAATAGCTTTTTTCTTTGGCCCCGATTACAGAAATGACTTTCCAGTTGGATTTCGTTTACCGCATTACGTTATACCGGAGCACTATAACATCCAGTTAGATCTAGCATCTTTTGACGTAGAAGAAAAAAGTTTCAACTTCTCCGGTACATGTGAGGCCTATATCAAGATTATTCGTCCAACGTGGTACATAAGTTTGCACGCACAAAAGCCGCAAATAGAAATACAAAATGCTACTCTCGTCAATAAAGAGTCATTAGAACTTTATAAACCGACAAATGTTACATATAACGAAGAAACTCATATTCTCGTCTTTCACTTTGGTTATGAATTATCAAATGGACATTATTTATTAAACATGAGCTTTATCAATTTCTCAGATGACGATAGAAATAGCATCTTCAGAACTGTCTACACAAATAGAAATGATAATGAAAATAAAAAGTGAGTAAATGTTGAATATATTGTAGTAAAGTACCTGTGTAATAAAATACTATTCTAACTTAAAATATTATTTTTAATAATATGACAGTATCTGTATATATAATATATTTAATCTTTTGTATTTTATTATAATTTTTAATGCCAGCACTATTTTTCTAATGCTGGTTAAACATTTCTTGTTATATGAGATATGCCATTAAAATGTGATAGGTTGTTTATCGCAAAACAATTCCATGCAATTGGGGCTCGACAATTGTTTCCATGTTGGGATGAGCCAGCATTAAAAGCGACATTTAATATCTCTATTAGACATCATGTAAAGTATGCGGCTTTGTCGAACATGCCGATGCAAGATATGATTGAAGATGCTGATCACATACTGTGGACATACTTCAAAACTACTCCTTTAATGTCTACTTATCTTGTGATGTTTGCATTATATGATGTGTTCCCTCATACCACACTGTATCAAATGTTATATCACCAGGAAATAATGTTCGCCAGTAATGTCACTGATATCATCATAACATGTTTCGTAAACGAATGGAAATATTCTGACAATATTTCAGATGTATATCATGTCATAACTTCAGGTTCTCGAAATAATGGCACGGGAATTATTCTTTATAGGTAATATATTATATAGAGTATAATTAGAGTATAATAATTAGAATATGAAACATTATTAAACATCAAGCTTGTAATAAAAATTTGATATAATCACATTATTTACAACGATTTTTAGAGAAGCAAATATTTTTTATAATAAAGCAAAAGATCCTGTTACGCACAAAATAGAAGTAGCACGTACATTAGCATACGAACTAACACATCAATGGTTTGATAATTTGATCAGCCCATCCTGGTGGTCTGATTACTGGTTGAACGAGGGTATTGCTACGTTGCTCGGAATGGATATCATGAATAAGGTTGTTTCTTTATTTAGTTACACATATAATGCTTTTTTTATTACACGCAGTTAAAGAAAACATTTGTTTTCAATAATGGAAAAAGAAAGTTTTTTGTGAATCCGCTAAGATCATAAGTTGATTCTTCAAGTTTCGAAATTTTATAAATAATGTAAAGTATATATGAAAAATAATTTAATATCGAATTCAAAATATAATACCTATTAATTTAAATATGAAAAAAACATTATTTTCACATAATTGCAATAATATCTAATCTTAGACAATTAGTCGCACATATCATTTCGAGAAAATTCTGTTATATTTTTCTACACTTAAAAAATAAAAACAAAAATAAAAAATAAAAAAGCTATCTGTTTGCAATAGTAGCAAACGTATTTGCTGATGCTTAATGCTAAAAATATATGCACGAGCTTTTTATATTAAAAATATTTATTGATCATTTGGTTAAAACTTTCATATATTAAAACTTTCATAGATTTTTTTTCATTAGACATTTTATAGATTTTTCCAGATTTCCGTGTGTTAGATCTGTTCGTAGTCCAAGTTCAACAAGAATCTCTTCGTTTGGACAATTTTAGATCGGATATTATGAAGCCTCTTATATCAGAGGTTAACAAAACTTCTGATATTGATTCACTTTTCTCTTTTTCTTATTACATGAAAGGTAAGATTAAACAACTATAATAACGTAGAATTAGATTATCCATAAGTTCTTGAACGTAAATATCATGAAAGTATTAGAAATACTAAACAAGTTTTTTCCCGCCGTTTATTTATATATTAATCTTATAAAAAAAGAAGAAATTTAAATAAAAAATTTAAAATTAACATTCCTTTATGGAATCACAGATATGCTTCCATGAACTTATGGATACTAGAATACAATAAATATATTTAATTATACATCGTACTTTATGATATGATTATCGCAGGTCCTGTCATATTGCGTATGTTGCAATATTTTCTTACTGACAAGGTATTCCGAAATGGTATTGAGATATTTCTTAGTAAACAGTGAGTAACATAATAGTTACGTATTATAGAAATAGAAATAATTAATAATTAGAAAAAAAATATATATATTTTAAAAAATATTTTTAATTTTTGTCTTATAATATATTTGTAATAAACGATTGTAGATATATCATAAAATTATAACAAATAATAATAAATTTTTGCGCGATGAATGCCGGAATCTCCGTGCAAATGAGCCGCATTTAGGAGGCTTTTATTTCGGGATCTCCAGGAATGTGACGTGGTTGCGTCGCTTTCGTTATTTCGAACCCATGATCGGGACTCCAGCTGGAGCAACCATAACACAAGCCTCGTTATTCGGTGCTAATGACGCTACGCGGCTTGAATTTATGGTGTTGAGAGTTAAGGGTCTCTCGCGATTTCTCTCGGGGATCATGCGAGGAAGAAATGCGCTACATATAAATCGAGCTTTCGCGGAAGCTTTCACGCGCCTCTGATAAACACACGAAAAGTAGCATAATAATTGATATCTAAAAAAAGAATAGTTATGGTCTTAGACTATTTTGTAATATTCCATAAACCATTAGTAAATCATGATATATAAGCGACAAAAAGGTAAAAAGCAAAAAAAAGTTATAATATAAAATACGATTTCACAAAAACACTAAATTAAATTTGAAAGCAATGTGAATATATATACTATTATGTATTGATATTTGAGTGTGTCAATAAATTAGGAAAACAATTATTGACGACCTTAGAGCTTGTTTACATGACATTACATGCTTATTATGATGTCAAGTACCAAGATTGTTAGATTTCGAGGATCTCTCGAAACAGTAAGATCGTAATCGTGCGATATATATTTTTGGGATTAACAACCTGTGATGATAATGTGCTAATTGCAGTTTTTATATTTCAATAAAGAATTATACCTCAATCTGCATAGAATTTTAATATACAAGGTAAGTCATTAAAAATAAATCTATATATTTTTTCATATCGATGTATATAATAATAAATCATATATAAAGCTTTTTTCTAATTATCTCTGTTTAATCAAAATTTATTCTGTATTTATTCTCGTTATTTTTCATTAAAAAAAGATACATACAATAAAAAGTACTTTGCATTATATTTTATTTATGCTTATATTTTCTTAAATAAAAAAACGTTATTACAGATATCTGAAACGAGAAACTTGGCATGGAAAAAGTATTGTTAAGAGTGATATTAAACAGCGCCTTATACATAACGGCAATAGCTTTTTTCTTTGGCCCCGATTACAGAAATGACTTTCCAGTTGGATTTCGTTTACCGCATTACGTTATACCGGAGCACTATAACATCCAGTTAGATCTAGCATCTTTTGACGTAGAAGAAAAAAGTTTCAACTTCTCCGGTACATGTGAGGCCTATATCAAGATTATTCGTCCAACGTGGTACATAAGTTTGCACGCACAAAAGCCGCAAATAGAAATACAAAATGCTACTCTCGTCAATAAAGAGTCATTAGAACTTTATAAACCGACAAATGTTACATATAACGAAGAAACTCATATTCTCGTCTTTCACTTTGGTTATGAATTATCAAATGGACATTATTTATTAAACATGAGCTTTATCAATTTCTCAGATGACGATAGAAATAGCATCTTCAGAACTGTCTACACAAATAGAAATGATAATGAAAATAAAAAGTGAGTAAATGTTGAATATATTGTAGTAAAGTACCTGTGTAATAAAATACTATTCTAACTTAAAATATTATTTTTAATAATATGACAGTATCTGTATATATAATATATTTAATCTTTTGTATTTTATTATAATTTTTAATGCCAGCACTATTTTTCTAATGCTGGTTAAACATTTCTTGTTATATGAGATATGCCATTAAAATGTGATAGGTTGTTTATCGCAAAACAATTCCATGCAATTGGGGCTCGACAATTGTTTCCATGTTGGGATGAGCCAGCATTAAAAGCGACATTTAATATCTCTATTAGACATCATGTAAAGTATGCGGCTTTGTCGAACATGCCGATGCAAGATATGATTGAAGATGCTGATCACATACTGTGGACATACTTCAAAACTACTCCTTTAATGTCTACTTATCTTGTGATGTTTGCATTATATGATGTGTTCCCTCATACCACACTGTATCAAATGTTATATCACCAGGAAATAATGTTCGCCAGTAATGTCACTGATATCATCATAACATGTTTCGTAAACGAATGGAAATATTCTGACAATATTTCAGATGTATATCATGTCATAACTTCAGGTTCTCGAAATAATGGCACGGGAATTATTCTTTATAGGTAATATATTATATAGAGTATAATTAGAGTATAATAATTAGAATATGAAACATTATTAAACATCAAGCTTGTAATAAAAATTTGATATAATCACATTATTTACAACGATTTTTAGAGAAGCAAATATTTTTTATAATAAAGCAAAAGATCCTGTTACGCACAAAATAGAAGTAGCACGTACATTAGCATACGAACTAACACATCAATGGTTTGATAATTTGATCAGCCCATCCTGGTGGTCTGATTACTGGTTGAACGAGGGTATTGCTACGTTGCTCGGAATGGATATCATGAATAAGGTTGTTTCTTTATTTAGTTACACATATAATGCTTTTTTTATTACACGCAGTTAAAGAAAACATTTGTTTTCAATAATGGAAAAAGAAAGTTTTTTGTGAATCCGCTAAGATCATAAGTTGATTCTTCAAGTTTCGAAATTTTATAAATAATGTAAAGTATATATGAAAAATAATTTAATATCGAATTCAAAATATAATACCTATTAATTTAAATATGAAAAAAACATTATTTTCACATAATTGCAATAATATCTAATCTTAGACAATTAGTCGCACATATCATTTCGGGGAAATTCTGTTATATTTTTCTACACTTAAAAAATAAAAACAAAAATAAAAAATAAAAAAGCTATCTGTTTGCAATAGTAGCAAACGTATTTGCTGATGCTTAATGCTAAAAATATATGCACGAGCTTTTTATATTAAAAATATTTATTGATCATTTGGTTAAAACTTTCATATATTAAAACTTTCATAGATTTTTTTTCATTAGACATTTTATAGATTTTTCCAGATTTCCGTGTGTTAGATCTGTTCGTAGTCCAAGTTCAACAAGAATCTCTTCGTTTGGACAATTTTAGATCGGATATTATGAAGCCTCTTATATCAGAGGTTAACAAAACTTCTGATATTGATTCACTTTTCTCTTTTTCTTATTACATGAAAGGTAAGATTAAACAACTATAATAACGTAGAATTAGATTATCCATAAGTTCTTGAACGTAAATATCATGAAAGTATTAGAAATACTAAACAAGTTTTTTCCCGCCGTTTATTTATATATTAATCTTATAAAAAAAGAAGAAATTTAAATAAAAAATTTAAAATTAACATTCCTTTATGGAATCACAGATATGCTTCCATGAACTTATGGATACTAGAATACAATAAATATATTTAATTATACATCGTACTTTATGATATGATTATCGCAGGTCCTGTCATATTGCGTATGTTGCAATATTTTCTTACTGACAAGGTATTCCGAAATGGTATTGAGATATTTCTTAGTAAACAGTGAGTAACATAATAGTTACGTATTATAGAAATAGAAATAATTAATAATTAGAAAAAAAATATATATATTTTAAAAAATATTTTTAATTTTTGTCTTATAATATATATATATTTTTTCTTTATTTTCTAATTTTTTAATTTCATTATTATGTTCTTCAATCTACACGATTTATGTAATGTCTATTGTCAATAATTTATAACTTTTTACAAATTTAGTAAGTTTAGTTCGGCAACTATCGATGATTTCTGGAGCGCTATGCAAACTGCTCATGATGTAGCAAAAATATCCAATATTGAAAAATTAGACATAAGAAAGGCGATGAGTGCTTGGACAAAGCAAAAGCATTATCTCGTGCTAAAGGTTACACAACCTAATTTTGAATACTTGGAAATCTCGATAGAAAATATTAAGAGCTTGGGCAAAGATAATTGGTTCATACCTGTAATTATAACTAAACAGACGGATTCAGATTTTACGATATACAAAAACACGTCTTGGCGAATGTACAATAAATGGAAAGCACAACCGAATGTTACTGTGTCTATAGATTTGCCTTTAGCTCCCAAAGACGATGAATGGATAATAGTTAACTTGCAACAAATTGGTAATATTAATTGATGAATTAATATAATTTTATAGTAAATAATGTACAATGTTCATATCCTCTTATTTATAGTAATATTGCAATTTTGAATACATTTTGCATACTTTGAACATAAACAAAAGAAAAAAGTAGATATTTAAAGATATCTTCTAATAAATTCTATCAAAAGAATCTAATAATACATAAAGTGTATTTATTGTACCATAGGATATTATCGTGTCAATTATGAACCTAAAAATTGGCGAAGGATTGCGAAATATTTGAACTCTGCAAACTATATGAAAATACATGTTCTTAACCGTGCTCAAATCATCGACGACGCCTATTATTTCCTGTCGATAGGCCAACTCGATTCGGATATATTTTGGGAACTTACAAAATACTTATCGCAAGAGACAGATTATGTGGCATGGTATCCTATGATCAAAGCTCTTGAAGATATGTCAAGTATCTTTCCAATGTTAGACGAAAGAGTCGATTTAGTCAAGGTAGATAATAACAGTTTTTTCGTCAATAAAAGAATATGTATTAGATTTTTAGATATTAAACATTATATATTAATAATAAATGGTTCTCACGTTAATGTTATTATTGCTTTAATTGTGAATATAGGAATTATATTATATGCTAATTTTAAAAAAAAGTTACATCCAGTTTTAAAGTAGAGAGAGAGAGAGAGAGAGAGAGAGAGAGCTATCTATTAAAAAGAATATTTACTGGTTACCTCTCTTACAAACTGTTACAAATATTGTTATTCAAAAATTTGTCATAACATTTTACAAAAAATCGGGAATTTGTCAAATTTAAATATAATTACTTATTAAAAACAATTTTCTTATAATTTACATTATACTTTTTAATTATAAATAAAATATAATGTATAATATTCGAAATGTGCTATTATAATTATTTAACGAATTTTTAGAAAAGCATGCAAGAAATATTAAATGGAGTTCTTGAACAGATTGGATACGAAGAACGTTCTGAAGAAAACATTCTTACTAAATATTTAAGACAAGAAGTCGCCAAATGGGCATGTATTCTCGAGCATCCCAAATGCATACAAATGGCCAAACGAAATTTGGAGCGACATATCATCCATTCTGAAAAGTAATTTTTTAAATAATCTTTTTGTTACAGTCATATCTTTTTTGTATCTTAATCGATGCTTGCTAAATAATATGTTAGAAATAATAGATTATAAATATATGTACCATGCTCTAAATATTTTTATAATATTTTTTTTTTTCGTATTGCCTAGACTTCTACCGTGGTGGAAACAATGGACATACTGTAATGGTATAATGGCAGAGGAAAATTTAAACGGTATTTGGTCGACAATGCTTGAAAAATGGGCCTTAGATTCTGATAATAGAATTTTAGAATTTCTAACTTGCATTGCACATCCTAATCCCATCCAAGAATATTTGAATACAAAAACTCTACAAGTATATCTGGATCTCAAATTTTCTCAGAAAAATATATTTTCAAAATTCCAAGACATTGATCGTGTTAATAGGTTTCTTATGACAATTATGAAACATGTAAAAAACGATGTAATACTTGAGTATGTATTACAGAATTTTGAAGAAATAAAACCCAGGTAAAATAACAGATTTCTTCAAAAATATACTATTCTCGCAATTCATATAAATATGCATCACGCAAATATGTATACATACGAGTATATTTGCTGTTTTGTTTTTATAGGGAAGTCAGTACGGTTGCAGCATTGATTATTATAATTAATCATGTGTATTCTGAGGCACAACTAAAGAAGGTAGATTTTGAGAAATTATGTACTGTATACATTCATTTATTAATATCTCGATATTAATCCTATTATCTATCTTTCACATATTATGTACATAATTTCTTGATTTAATTAAGCTGGAAAAAAAATTATATCGCATTAAATTTTTATATATAGCTAAGTTACTTTATACTATCGATAAATATCAAAATAATTCATTTTAGATTATGGAGTTCGTGGAAAATAATCTAATAAAACAAGAGAATATTATTATTATTAATAATTTAACAACGAGTATCTTCTTTCACAACGAATTTGACAAGGTAAATTTTGTGAACTCAGATATCATAGTCATTACAATCTCCTTTTATCTTCATCATAAAATTTTTTATCTTTGTAAATAAATATATGTATAAGATATATATATATTTTATATAAGTATCTATAAAGACATATTTTATTTTTATAAATACTTATACAAATAATTTATTTTAATCATAGTCAAAACCAGAAATTATGTTTATTTTTTTATTTTATTTTTAAAATATCATTTTATTTATATAGTGCGAAAAAGAATTATTACTTATTAACAGTGGATATAAAAATAATTTGTTTTAGATACATGAATATGCGAGAAATTTTGTGCATGAACGAATTTCGTTTATCCATCGCAAGATAGAAAAACGCTTATATGAACTCACGCTTATCCGAAATCGAATCAGAGAAGAGTTTTCAAATTAGAATAATTCATCTATCTCAAATCTATGAATAGTACAAATTGTATCGCTTGCATATATCTATCTTATTTATAAGTAACTTTTTTTATTAATCTTATTTTCTTTTGACAAATCTTTAAAATAAGATATATTAACAAAGTCTTTAAAAAAACCACTTATAATTTTACCACTTATAATTTTTTAGAATATAAGACTATTCGAAAAAATTATCATTTCAAACTTTAACAATATAATAATGCAAAACATTAATTCATAGATGTAATACATATTACTATTATTATATAAAGACAAAATAAAAGTGCATTATTCTGTTAAATACATATATTAAACTTACTTAAATTATTTCTCTCTGCGCTTTCGATTCTAAAGATTTGTATTACTATATCCTTAAACACAAACGATAATTTTTTCAAATAGATACGTATTTGACAATACAAAATGTATTTATGTAAAATATGAGTTTCGAAATAAATTTTTGATATGCTCTTTATTGTGAATATGTATTTTTATTCTGGTTATGTGTGGCTGCTTAATTATTACATATCAATTTTAATTACTTTTTGTATTTATTTCTTTCATTCTTTAATCAATAATAATATTTATTATATATTATTATGCAAGTTTTTAATAATATTAACATAAAAACTTACATACATTATTATATTATTAATATTGAATAATGCTTCAATATTTATAGTTAATATTATTAATCATCATCATCTGTATGTATTAATATTATTAATTACTGTTATATATTTGCATCTCTTGAAAAAAATTATAAACATGTTAAAACAAAAATATATAAAATAAATCTGATGTCTCCCACACTATGTATGCATACCTGAACATGCGTTGCGACAAAATTAACATTCCATCGATGGAAGTTTCGCAGTTCTTCGTGGAGTTCTTTTAACGATGGCCATGACACGATAATAATATGTCGTCGAGCTACAAAATCGAGCGGTGTCTTTGAGGGCTTTAACATAATAAATTAATCTATTAACGCCGCGGTCGTCTGCATTCCGACGGTGAGGAAGAGACGGGAAAATGGGTTTCGAGAGATCCCTGAGCGGTTCGTCGTAATCCTCAATAAGGCCCAAATTGATTATCCCGAATTAATATGGTCGACATTGCTCGCGCAGGCTTCGTAACGCGTCGAACCGAAAAAAAAGTTATAGAAAATGAGCCTCTATTATGCCTGTTTTCTCGCTGGGAGGTCATTTCTCTCGTCGATATGCGTAAACAACTCGCATTAGAGACCATGTTGTTAAATGATTTTTAACTACATAACTATAAAACTATTCGGCGTCGAAGGTGTATTAACGGGCAGCATTTTATCGAATTCTATGATACATGTTTTTTTACAAGTCGATAATTAACGATTGAATAATTAATCGTTGCAGATGGATATTGAATAGATTATTATAAACTCATATCCGCAAGATTTTTCTTTATTATCTACGAATGTTGATATATTTTACAATCGCTGAATTTTTACCGATACATCTAAATTTATGCCGGTATTCAACATCGAAACAATAAAAACCCGCGTGAGGGAGACGGAAAAGGGTTGAAGACTTAAGGCGTATTACACGGGAGAAGTCAGGAGAACCCCCAGTATTCCAGACTTTCAGATCCGCGCCGAGGAGTCAGGTGAGCCGAGGCGCCCGGAGCGCCGCTGATCACTTTGACCTACGACCCCATCAATCATCGCCAAATCATACACCACTTATCTCGGCGTGGCACGAAAGCCGGCGCGCGTTCTCTCGTAACGGGCAAAAGCGCACATACTCGCCCCCACCTCCGTCCTTCTCCTCCCATCCCTCCCCGCGCTGCTGCTTGTTTCTTTCATACACCCACGATTTCCCTCGACTGTAAAAATGAATGTTTACGACGACTTTCCAGAGAAAAATTGATTGTTTTTTGTTATGTGAGTTTGAATGTATGTGTAAGCAAGTTGTTCATGAGAATGAATAAACCAAAATAAAATATGCATTTTTTAGCGTCTTTTTTTCTTTTTGCATTTATATGATGTAAATTGGATGTTTTTAAATGTTAAATTAAATTATTTTCATGATTCATAAATGCTTGTAATGGCCAATCATTAGATACATTTTTTGTGTAAAAATTAGGCAATAAATTTTTTTGATAAAGATGCCGATAAAATCAATAAATATATGTTAATATTTCGAATAGTGAAAATAAAACAAATATGTAAAATAATATACTTTATAAAACTGTATACTAAAAACACACTATAATATTCTAAAATCTAAAAATTCAAAATTTTTAGAAAAATGTAAATGTCACTTTAATAAAAAATAGAAATTATTTAATGTGACATTGAATTTATAATTAGCATTCTGTTGATATGCCATTTCCGTTAATATTGATCCAATTTATTGTGTTTATACGTTATAGCCTAATTAAACGGTCTACAACATAACGATATCAAAAGACTGAACTGTTTGGACAACTTGTCTTCATGGTACTGTGACACAAATCAAATGAAACATGTACACACACTCTCTCTCTCTGTCGCTTTTCGTGCGACAGTTACTAATCTGAAATTAGGTCAACGTCATTTTCCACCTCTACTCCACTCTTTTCACCGCATAAAACTGATATTTATATATTTATACCGATATTTATGCCAAGTTTTATACACAGTAACCTTTTCAAAATATTCTCTACAAATATTAAGTACACACACAGACAGACAGACATACACACATGCACAATATTCGATATTTTTAGTAACATTGGAATTGAATTCAGCTCGAAGAAAACGTGACAATTTTAAATACTCGCTTGAAAATTTTAGGTCCTTAATGAATTTTTGCAGCTTTTTAATAACGTAACGAACAAAGTATAACGTAACGTTACAAAATCCCAATGAAACTCACGGTTAATATGTTCTCGATTACAATAATTGTTGCCTTTTCACGTAGGATTAATATAAAAAAGAAAATAATATACGATCTCTCCCTTTCCCAGGTCGCGGTGTGAAGAAGTTTAGGTCAAAGTTCAGATGCCCGGATGCCTCCCACCGTTGTCTCCCCTCGTTCTTGTTGTTTCCCAAGCCCATAACTGCGCTCGAGCGCGTATCTTCGTGACCTTCGCGGTGTAAGGAAGAGATGAGGAAGGAGAGTACGGGAAGAACCGTAGATGAAAGCAGCTTCTCTCGTAATTGGTGGGCACAAGTGCCTCTCGGGAATGGGGCAAACGTGATTCAAGAATTCTCAATGAACTCGCTTTAATCTCATACCCGGTAGTTTAGATGAAAAGGATTCGCCGGGAGAGAGAGAAAGAGGAAGAGAAAGAAAGTGAAAGAGAAAAGGCCTTCTTGATATTTTATTAAGTCGCGACTCGACAAAATTGATACCTTCGCTTGCGGTCGACGCTACTATCGATATCGGTATCGTAATTTTTCAAGCACATCACGTATTCTCGACAAACACAAAGCTGCAAAGTTAGTAACTTAAAATACACAAAAGATGGTATTTTGCAGAGAAAAATGTATATGAAATTATCTATAAACTACAACGTTTCTAGCAATTTTACTAAAATCTATCCGACAGATGAACGAAAATGTATTAAAGCAAGATATATCGAGTGTAATTAAAATTATCTATAAGTAACAAAGATTTAGTATTATTAAAATACAATCGCACGAGAGGAACACGAAGGTGTAAAGACCAGCTGCTGCTTGGCCACTACATACATATAATATCAATTCGTTTGTCGCAACGCGATCGGCCCCAATATCGAAGCGCTAAACAAGAAAAAGGCGGAAACGCAAGCTGGAGCGAAGAACCAGACAAGACCTGAAATATTCGCGCAGATCGCGATCGCGATCTAAGAAACGAATAAATCGTCTGTAACGAGGGACGTATTACACCTGCAATTACCAACTCGATCTATCTCTTTCGCTCTCTGTTTTGCTTTTTTAAAGTGCTTTCTCTTTCTCTCTCTCTCTCTCTTTCGCGCGCGCGCCGATAATGACGTCGATTTAATGAGAGAAAATACGAAATTGCCGCCGAACTATACGAGAAGCGCGGACGGCATGCTGAGCTTTATTTGGAAACACGGCAAGAATAAATAATGAGAAGTCGAAATTAGGAGGATACGAATTATGTTGTGTGTGAATTAAGTGCCGCTCCGTTATATTTGTACGAGAGAGAAGAACGTGAACGAAAATTGTTCACGCGCAGCTACATTGTGCCGCTCTAATGAAACGTCGACGATTACGTCTCAAGATTGATAGCATGTGGGTTCACCGAACCCCCCCGATACATGCGCGGTTGTAGAGAGGTGGTTTAATGCGGTGACCTTACTCTTCAGGTAATTAGAGTCCGATTTCGGCGAGCGTTTAATCTTTTTCCTCGACTGCTATTTGCTACGTGACTTGGTTATTAAGCTATCGAGATTGCTCTTGACACAATAAAATATGAGTATTTCAATTTACTAGTACAATCTATAATAATAAAATACTCAAGAAGCTTATTTCAAATTCAAATTTTACGTGAAAAAAAATGACTACGAATTCTTAAATCGAATACTATGGTAAAGATTCCTTCAAGTATCTTTATAATAAGTCTTGTATAATGTCGTGTTGAAAAGCATCCAAACCGCGAATTGGAAACTATTCAACTTGACCGACATTCGTGCACGTATAATAATACATTTAACGTTACTCGAAATCGTCGCCGAATAACCAAATGTAATAAATTGTCTTTTGCAAAACGAAAAATGCAACATCTTTGGTAACGTTACAGATTGATATTACTATGACTTTTTCGATATGCAAATGATTCAAAGAAATCGGATGGATCGAGTGACAATGGTGTTGCAAACATTTTAATTCATACGCACCCTTTTCTCTAAAGTGTTATACTCAACGTCGGATCTTCTTCTCTTGTCCTTTTTTCCAAGCAGAAACTTGCTTGCGCATCTTCCCGTACGTCAGGTTCGTCTTGCACGCTTGTTTCCAATTGTTTATTTTTCTTAGTGGTGCTTGATTTACATGTGAATGCCTGGCGCTAACAGATGCTTCTTCGGCTACTAACTACCAACCCTCCCACCACCTAAGCTGTCGCAAGAGGGTTCTTCGACCGTCTTTTGATAGACCATTGACCTTCTCCTTCTCACAGGATATAACCTTTCTCTCTCGTTTAATCACGAGGGATTGATCAGCATTCCGATAAATATCTGATTGATATAAAGTTTTTGCTTTTAGTTAAGATGTATGATTTCTTTCTTTTAGCAAAAAATATGATATGCATTAATGTATATTAAATTTTACATTAATCATGTATAGTCGTAAGTGTTATTCTTCATTTAATCCTCAATCTTATTTTTAATATAGCTTGTGTAAATAATTTATAACTTAATGTATCATTATATATAGGTTTTGTCTCGTGTGCCAAAAATAATGAATTTTTATTTAATCAACTTATTAACTTT